GAAAATTGCACTATTTACTCTGGTTGACAGCGTTTGGGCTGTGAATGAGTCTTCTGCAATCGGTATCGCCCGACTGCAACGTTCTTACTTGTTATACCCTGAACCCACTGAAAATGGGAAATCCAAGTATAATAGTTTTGTGAAAAAGTATGTAACGGGCAGAAGGAATCATCGCAGACCCCATAAAGTATACATATATATTATTGATCAGCGTGACGAGCTGAGTCGATGTAGCCCTGTCCGTCCGTCCGTATGAGTGCGTCGATCTTAGAAGCTATAAGAGCTAGAGAAATTTGGCATGCATACTCGTGTATACCATACGCATTATGTATACATATCTTTTTATCGAGAATAATCGGAAAATCGACTTTGTTTTTTCAATCTACTTTGAACACTTTTAGACCTAGAGACTTCAGATTTACTGTGTATATACAGTTGATCGATACGAAGATTTTTTTTTGTTTACAGATATTAGATACCACGTCCCTTCGACACCAATTTAAAAAAACGCATTTCAATTACTAGAGATTTGTGCTTTGGAATGTACACACATGTTTACTATATGATTACGCTCTCATTAAGATTGTATGGCTACAAAAGAAATTATTAACAAATAAATTCTCATAATATTGCTCACACTACAGCGCAGCCAATGCGCAGTCGCTGCTTACTGCACAGTCAGCAGAGCGCGTGATTATACGTTCTTGTGGATGCGTGTTTATGCATGTGTGCATAAAAGAAGTGCAGAATGAGTAGAATATTAGCTTGGAGGGTTCAGGATAACTCCTAGTCGAGCAGTCTCGACTGGAGCCATCTTACTTGTTACTTGTTATTGAAAACTTTTATAAATTTCCAAATTTCCATGGTTTACATTATTATAACTTAGTTAATCTAACAATTTCCACTGAATGTTATTCATTACTATTTATTTGTGACAAATCTCATAATATTTAAAGGAAAACCATAAGTATGAATACAATTTTTAGATAGTGCCGGCTATATACAGGTATTTATATTTAGTTCAGATATTTTTATGTATGAAAAATATTTATAAATAACGCTCTGTTCGATAAGACGAAGCACGCAAATGTAGAAAAGTTTTAAGAGTCCTACCAATCAATACTTCTGAATCAAATATTTATACATACATACATACATACATACATATGTAAATAATTTACCCCAAAAATTAAAAGTCACAGAATTCCACTACTACAATGAGAAGTAACTAGCAAGGGAGAAAACGAGAGAGAGGAGAGACAGATAGGGAGACTGCAAAAGAGAGACCCCAAAATGAAAACGAAAGCTATAGTCGCTAGATAATTCCTGATGCCCGATGCTGATTCACAGTGAGATTCTGTTAAAAAGAAACAGTAATAGATCGACACTCGTGGAGTTCGCTTCGTTTCCACAGAAGAATACTTTTTCTTGCTGTGGGCTGTACTGTGTTATCTGTAGTCTAGTTGTATGTACCAAGATATATATGTATTTATATATCTTATAAAAAATCATACACACATTAACCAATAATAATAATAAATATGAATAAGAATATGGTTGAACTAGA